GGTGTGCAGAGTGAGGGGATGGAAGAGGAGAAGAGAGAGAGAGGGGGGATGGACGGCTGTAAAAGCGGTGAAATATCAAAGCCGGGATGGGAGCTGTCATCGTCGGGCCAACATCATGGGTGGCGTGTTGAATTAGAATGCCTTCCCACACCCCACACAGGGCCAAACCCCACCGCAATTCTCCCACCATAATCCTTCGACTAGAACTGGTGGGGACGACAAGAGAGGACAGGTTATACACCCTGGCTTGCCGAAGAAGGAGGGGAAGAGAGCGGATCGTGTCGCCAGGCGGCGTTGCGGTCGCATTCCACTTCGTGCACCGAACAGCTCCGTCGAGAGCTGCCACTATTTTCCTGGATTCCACTTGGTGTACATCGTTTGCGTTTAATCGTTTCATATCACGGAGAGATTGATCAACTAACGCGTATACCGAAACTGTGCCCCGGAATATTTAAAACGTTTACGTTCATCAGTTTGTTCCTGTTTCGTGATTTGTGAAGATTTACTTGTAGTTTTGTGCAGTGATTGGCTTAATAAGTGTAAAACCAAATGGTTGTCCTCGAGGAAGGCGGTATGCTGACTACTGGACACAATCAATATCTACAACCGGATTATCTTTCTCCGCTTCCAACTACGGTTAGTATATGCTTCAAAAAAATATTGTTTTTGATAAACAATTTTTAAATTATTTAATTACGGATGCAGTGAAGGAAGTGGAGTACTATAGCTTTTACATTGTTCTATTTCTTTTTGTTATTTTGTATATAAATTAAAATTAACAACGTTATTTTTTATGGAAAATCGAATGAACTTCGTTTGAATATTCAAAAATAAGATGTTTCATTTGTTTGTCGTATACCGACGGTACACGATGTCCGACGGGTTGCTGTACACTCACTTATTCGACTTTTTCTTGTGTATTTCATAAAATAATAAATGTTTCACGATATTACGTTCAAAGTTTTAGTATGTATTTATACAATATCAAACATCGATATTGATTTGTAACGAGTTGCACAACTTTATTTTACAGTTGGATGCGAAGAAGAGTCCTTTAGCTTTATTGGCCCAAACATGCAGTCAGATAGGTGCTGATTCTCCAACAAAGCCTTTGATTTCTCCGCTGGATAAAACGCCGAAGAGCATGAATACCGGTACAAACGCAAAATCTCCACCAGCTGCAAAGTTGGAACGGAGTAGTACACGCAGCAGCCCGTCGGACGGGAAATCCTTGGCTTTTAAGCCTTACGAAACTAATGTTGTTTCAAAAAAATCTACTGACGAAAGTAGACCTGCGTCGAAAGCAAGTGTTCACAGTGTTAGTGGTCAAGAGAGTGTAAGTGTGAGTGATACCAGTCACACAGAAAAAAAGTCATCGGGAAATCGTACGCCCGTCGGCCGAAAGTCAGCCTCTCCCGCGACTCAAGCGACAGCGACGGCAAGCACCACTCCATCCACTGATCGGAAGACACCGGCGGATCGGGACAAAACCGATGGATCGCCACGTAATAACAACAATGGTACTAGCCCGATCATTAGATCAGGCATGGAGATTCTTTCTGGTAGTCATACAAAGGAATCGAACTTGGGTGCATATAAGCCTAGTCTTCCGGGATTTTCTGGAAACCCGCTCTGTTGCCCACCTGGATTGGCAGAAAATCCAGCGTTTAGACCACCGTTTGCTGGTGCATCTCCCTTTTCACATCATCACGCTGCAGCAGCAGCTCTTTTGGGTTATCCATCAAGTACTCCGACAGGTGGAAACCCTTATCTGAGTTACGCTCGTGTCAAGACTCCTGCCGGTGGAGAGGCCCTAGTACCGGTTTGTAAGGATCCTTACTGTACTGGTTGCCAATATAGTATGCACAGCGCGCAGCTAATGATGAGTACTGGAACTTGTCCGAGTGGATGTACACAATGTGATCATCAAAAGTACGGTTTGGCAATGGCATTGTCATCGTTTGGTCCTATGGCTCCACCGTCGCTTTCTTACCCGTCCACATTAACCGGTGGTAGACCATACGTTTGTAATTGGATCGCTGGCGATTCTTATTGTGGAAAGCGATTTACTACATCGGAAGAGCTTCTTCAGCATCTTCGTAGCCACACAAGTTTAACCGGTGGCGATCATGCGTCGTCTTCAGCCGCTTTACTCAGCAATCCACATCCGCATCCTTTGCTCTCGCCGTCGGCAGCTTTACATCGTGCGAGCGGCGGGTCTTACCCGACGCCTTCTCTGAGTCCGTTGAGCGCCAGATATCACCCATACGGAAAGCCACCGACGGGACCTCTTCCAGCCTCGCTCGCCGCATCACCTTATAGCGCTTTCAACGCATTAGGACCTTATTATTCTCCATACGCGATCTACGGCCAGCGAATTGGTGCTGCAGTACATCCTTAAACTGGTGCTCCGGTGTAAACATTTTCAGTGTACAGTCTACAATAGTGTAAAATAGGAAATTGTCAAAATGAGCTTTTGACAATCTGTTGTGTAAATAATTAAACGTGTATAATATAAATTTATTTAAAAAGATACCTATATATATATACAACATGTGTGTATAAATTCAAGATTACAATTAAAGTTTATAAAGATATCTTGTGACTTTAACGTTTCACCATCAAATCATTCTTTGCGGAAAACCTATATTAACGTACCTCCTAACGTTTGATCATTATGTAGGGAAGAACATGTACACTGTGGATAGACACCTTAGACATCTTCGAATCGATAGGAATGTTTCTATACGGCACATTACTGCGTAAAGTATTTCGATCTTTGTAACCAAGTTCAAAAACCTATGGATAAGTAGCAAAAACGCCGTGCGTAGCGAAATTTTCGAGTGCTAATTAATTTTCATGTTTAATGGGAAACATTCGCTTGTTTCTTAATTGTGTTTGAAGTTTAAAGTGATACAATTAGTCGTACGGAAACAGTGTTAGGTGTTGATGAAAATCGTAGACTTATGTAGCGATACTCACTAATCGCTTTCTTCTATGATAGTGACGATAGTCTGATGGCGTGAATCTTGAAACGGTCGTGCATGTTCTAATGTCCACAATGTAACTGTGATATTACGCTATTTTTTCGAAAAAATAATAGGTGATAACATTAATGATGGTATCTAAACTATATCTATAATGAAGTGTATCGTCTAACTTATTCGTATCGTTTGTATAAGTGACAGATTGTAAAAGTGATGAAACTGAGAAAGAAATGTGCTTATTATTTCCTCTGAATTTCCGAATGCAGTTATTATAAACGGAATAATTAACAATACTTTACATTTATTCAGAAATACATTGGATTTTTATTCTTCGTTATGTAAAGTACTCTGATTGAACGAACATAATGTATGATAGACATTATTTGCACTGTAAATATCTCTTGTAAATATCGTTGAGTTTCCATACCGCTTTAATAAAAACAATGTTTGTGAAATCATTAAATTTGTCTTCTTATTAATACATTCTCCATACTCGTTGCGTATTTAATTCTTTTTCATTCGAATAAAACTTATTTTAATAGAAATTACTATTTATTATTTTTTATGTTTGTATAATAAAATAATTTTTATTATCATTTCGTTAGAAAAAATGTTTTCGTATCTCATGTGACATACTTTGCAGTACTGAATCTTTTTTATTACTATTGATCTACATATTTTTCTGTTAAGTTACTAGCTCTGGTAGACCACAAATTAAAGATATTATGCTTTAATAATATAGTCCCCTGTGACTTAACGTCAAAAGTTTAGGTCATTTAAAATGAGCATATGTTGGAATAGTTTTGTAATCATACAAAATTAAAAACTGAAGAGAAATAGTAGGAAAAGTAGAAGACGACAAAGAAGAGGCAGAGGAGCCGCCGTATCTACGCTTCTGATGCGCACCACCAGGGTGCTCGTTGTTCATGTGCGCGCACGAACGGTGAGTCTCAATCCCCGGGGTACCCAGGAGAGTAAATTTATTTCTTTCATTACGGACGGAGCAGGTCGCGAGTTCTCGGATATCAGCGCTGCAAGGCGGGGCGCATAAATCTGCAGCGTAGTGTCGGAAGGAGGAAAAGGGGCAGGGTGTGGAAGTAGGGAGGAAAATGCGGAGAGGGGGTGGTGGAGTGGGTGGTTGAAGGTTTTTAGACCCATGCAGAGGGAGAGACTTGCTTTACCCTCTGCGAACGTCGTTTCTATCGCCAGGGTGCCACGACAGGCGGTGGCAGGCTCAGCTGGCTCAGCAAAGTGAAATATTTGGTGATTTTAAACGTCGGGATGAATAGTTTCCTCGTATTTCGCGTTCTCGACCCGTTTCATGGATTGGAATTCATGTTATTTCGGTATCATTATGTGCATCGTTGGGTCTCAATTAGTGGCTCGTCCATTCTAAGTAGAGTATTTATACGAACATGGATCGATTCACGTAATTTACCCCTTGTGATTGGATCTGCTAAGAAATATGCGCTTCTTGGAAAATTAATATAAAAGCGGCTATGTAACTGTCGAAAATGTATAAATATATTGCATGTAAATAAAATATATATCGGATTTTCAATTATGACTGTGCAATAGCAATAAATAGAAGCTTAATTGTGGAATAATAGGACTATTCTTGTTTATGATGTAACAAGCAGCATTTCAGTTAAATTAGCTTAAATTTTCAAAAGAATAAATTAACAAATAAATGAAATAACAAACAAATATAAAATAATCATATATATTTTGTTACTCATATTTTATTTCTTTATTATCTGTAATAAGGTTGTTTTTCTCGAAGTGAAATTACAATTTGATATTTTCTGGGTCGTTAGTCCCAAATTTAAACTTCAGACATGGGACAAAACCTTACGAAAATCCCATATCTGCGCACTCAAATACTCCTAACCTCTTATCTATATTTATTTTAAAAGGGTTTATTTTTTCTATGCTTTTCTTTGTTGTTGTCTTTTTCCCTTTTTTTGTTTGAGAATTTATTTTGAATCATCCTAATAGTGAACTTACCCCTTCTATTTGAAGAACGTATAAAAAGATATTGTTCTGCAATTTTGTTGATTGATCCTATAATATATTTTAACAACATTTATGTATTTAAATTTAGCAACAACTGTTCGTTATATTGCTTTTTGAACTTATTATTTTAGTATTGACACGTTATTTTAGTGTTTGTGCTAACATTGGAAAAAAATTAAATTTATTTCACGACAAGACTTGTCGAGTATGTACATCTCTGATTGTTTTCTTATACAATGATACGTTCTGGCTATATTGCTTCTTATAAATTAACTACGTTATTTGATAACATGTCTATTATGCTCCCTCCCTTGTTTCTTGAAGCCAAACAATAGACAATTTGTGTGATAGAAGTAATTCATATTTCACTGAATTTATTTATCCTTTAATTACTAAATAATTAGTACCTGCACTGCACGCTAGGCTCTATGTAATAATTCGTTGAAAATACATAGCTAGTACTTTAGTTAGTTTGCTTACTTATTTCATATAACGGTAAATCGCCATATTTTATGCCAGGCTATATATAATATTTCGTTACTGCTTTATAGCAGATAGATTTATTATATCTACAGGGTGGTCCATAAATCACTTTTCCATTTGAAAGTTGTATAACTTTTTTAATTGTATATTTTTATTTATTATTTATTTAAAAGTTATATAACTTTTAAATGGAATAGTAACTTACGAGCCTGTAATAAATCACCATATGTAAGAATAACCTATGCGTTTTCTTATGAAAAAGTTTAAAAATAATTTTAGTAATTTGGTAATATCTTTCAGTATCGGTATAAAATTAATTATGTTTCATTTTTTTTTCTTTGTTGAACATTTTGACAAAATACATATATACACGATATAGAGGTTATTTTAAATTATTTATCTATTGTCTATTTCAAGATAATATATAGTTTATTATGAAATGAAACGAGTAATAATAATTCGTGTTTGTTTGCATTTATTTAATCTTGAAATCTTCTTTGTTTGGCGTTGCCGTGTAAAATTGCATCGTCAATGAAAGTAATAGGGTAGTGCACGGCGTGTTGTTTTTTATTACCCAGGCTAAATAATTTTGTAGCTTTGATGTATATTTCCTTTGAATGATTCGATAAGTCGTTGCAGTAATAATTATATTTTTCCCTTTTGCACAACCAGATTATAAATCTATTTCAGTTAGTTTCTTAAAAGTTAAACGTTGCGCTACAGATAGCAATTTATCATTATTTTGTAAGATATGTATAGCGTGTACATTATACCTAATGCGTATTCTCTTTTGCTTGGTGTCTTTTTGTTATTCTATCCAGATTTATCTTGATAATTGGGAAAAACGGGAACATGTACAACGAGACACAAATAAAGGTGACAAACGATTTATTACCCGTTATTTCTAGAACGTGAGTTTCTCTTTTGCTCGAACCATTATCAACCTCCTACTCGACTGGCTGCAAAAAAACTTTGAATTTTAATTACAGAGTATTGGGGGAATTGCTTTGAACACGGGAACTAAGTTCTTCGATATCCAACAACTTACATAGTATGTTACGTACATATATAGACTTTACGTTACCAGAAATTTACTATAATTTTGGTTAAAGAATGAAAGTCCCTGGTGTCATCGGCTGAATCTTTTTGTCGTTGAGAACATATCCTCGAATGACGTCTATCAGCCATCCTGCCCAGTCTTACGAGTCACAGCAGACAATTTAGCACATCAATAACAGGCCGCAGATAAAAGCAGCCCATACATCGTGGCTGACGTATCGTTTGTAATAAAACACAAAGGGGGTCTAGCCGCCAGCGGCATCTGTGTACCGCGTTGTGCAGCCGTTCGTTCATTCTTGCTGTTATTAACAGGCCGTACATCGTGGATGTTTTCTACCTACCATCTCCCGCCGAGTCATACATCACCGTTGAATGCGCGACAGCAAAGAGCAACTATAATTCATCTATAAGCTACAGCCGATCCCCCTCGGCAGAAATTGTGGAAGACGAAATCGATAGGTCAAACGTCGCTGAAGGTTTTACGATGTTCGCACTTCTGTCATATAAAATTGAATTTTCGGATAACGCGATCAAGACACCGGATTATTGCTTTCCTATCGAATTTACTTCTTTTCCGACAAACAGAGGATTTTTGACAAGCTATAATAAATCTCAACTTTCGATTACGTGACGACACAATGACTTATCGTTGATCGGGCATCTGATAACAGTAACGATACATTTTGCAAATAAATAAATTTTCGATTTCTCTTAAAATTCTTAATCACATAAAAACCGCAGCAATTCTCGCGATTAATCTTATATAAGTTGATTTTCTAGTAATAACGCATAATCGTAGCTATAACTTATTGGAACAGATGCGATTGGAATAAATGGACGAAAGTAACGTTATTGTGTGAACATCGATCGCGATATCTGTGAACATTAAAGTAAAACTAACACTGTTATCGTTAGATATAATGCAGCATTACGTATAGCACAGGTATGTACCTCGTCGATTTCGTTTCTGCGGCGTCGCGTCGCGTCGTCTCCCGCAGCGTCATCGTGCCGGGGGCGCTGCACGGAAGAAGCAACAGCAGGACGGTGATGCATTATGCCTCCTTGTTACTTCCATTTACACCCAGCATGAGTGCCAGCCACTGTTTGCGTATGAGCGTATTTAATTTCGATGATGCGACCTACCTGCGGCTGCCCCTTTTCAAAGAATTTCTTCGATCGTCGTGTAGCGAATTAATTTTTGCTTGTCATAGAAGAAACTACGTGTATTTCTTAATAAACAGAGTGCGCGAAGATATAATCTTTAAGCGTACATATTAATAAAAGGAATGAAATTTCAGGCCTGTCCTGACGAAGCGAACTGCAATGTTCATGAAACGTCGGCATAAAACGCAATCGAAACTCGAAAAACCATAAATATATCACCAAGGTGATTTCTTTTTCGATTTAACTCTTCAACATCGGTGGAATGTTGAAAAGTAACAAGGCATCTTTGCAGTCTCTTTATAGAAGTCGTCGACAAATAATGTAGAAATTAGCAAAAATATGTCGCGTTGTAGACGTTGATTACGATAGATATAATTGCACTAAATCGCAAAACAATTAACATTTTTGCTCAAAGAAAATGACTAGAGATTTCGTTTAGGTGAAAATATATTTTAGTTTGTTGTTCCGGACAACATGTATAGATGTAGTCTTCGTTATAAGAAGTTTTATATCTTTGTAATTAATTTTGCTTATCGCAAAAGTTATTGCAAAAAAGATTATCATAGCATCTTGATGTAGCATCCACTTCAAAGCAAAGGTTAGACGGATACTACATTATTTTCATCGATCATGTAGAGTCAAGAAGACGACGTCCGTCTCATTGACGAAGAAGTATTGCTCCAAAAGGCACTTGGAAATATCTTTTAGTTTATTTTTCAAATATACATTAGAATCGATATT